AAACTGTATTAAAGGGTCATGGCATTAGAAAGGTTGAGACCCAGTGTACTAGATAATGATGAATGATTTTTTTTAATGTGTAGCTGTAATCTATTGGCTAGGATTTTATTGAGAATTTCTGTATCTGTATTCATTAGTGAAATTGATCTGAAATTCTCCTTTTTAATTGGGTCTTTTCTTGGTTTTGATACCAAGGTGATGTTTACATCATAGAATGTGTTGGGGAAGATTCCTTCCTTCTCAATTTTTAGTAATAAAAAATTTCTGCAGTATGGATATAAACTCTTTGAAGGTTTGCTAGAATTCTGGGGTGAAGCCATCTGGACTAGGGCACTTTTGGGGGGGAGATTTTTTAATGTTTCTTCAATCACAGTTTTTGAAATTGGTCTGTTCAAGAGATCTGTTTTTTCTTGATAAGTCTAGGAAGAGGGTGTGATTCCAGGTATTGATTCACTTCCTCCACATTGTCAAACTTCTGGGCATAGAGTTTCTTGTAGTACTCAGAGATGATCTCTTGTATTTCCATATCATTTCTAATTGAGGTTATTAGAGATTTTACTTTTTTATTTCTAGTTACTCTGGTCAAAGGTTTGTTGATTTTAATTTTTTTGAAAACCCAACTTTGTTTCATTAATTTTCTGAATCATTCTTTTCATTTTCATTAATCTGTGACTTGATTTTGATTATTTCTTTTTTTTTTTTTTTTTTGCTGGGTTTGGGATTAAATTGTTCTTTTTTCCAATTCCATAAGATGGTTCATGAGTTTGTTGATGCCCTGTCTTTCTGTTTTTCAAATATAGGTATCTAAGGGGATAAATTTCCTTCTTAAGACTGCTTTTGCTGTAACCTAGAGGTTTTGCTAACTGTGTGTCTTCATTTTTATGTTTGAGGAATTTAACTATTTCCTCTTTTGTCTCTTCCTAAACCCAACTATCATTCAGCAAAAGGTTGTTTAATTTATAACTCTTTCCTGTGTGGGGAGGAACGTTTTGTTGCAGTTGAGTTCCACCTTTATTGCCTTCTGGTCTGAGAGGATACAAAGTATAATTTGTATTTTAATTTTGCTGAGGTTTGATTTCTATCCTGGTCAATTTGGGGGTATGTACCATGGGCTGATGATAAAAATGTATATTCCTTACCTTTGGGATGGTGTGTTCTGTATATGGCTATTAATTGCATTTGTTCTAGCATCACATTTAAGTCCTTTGCATCTTTGTTTAGTTTCTGTTTGGAGGATCTGTCCAGTTCTGTCAGAGGGGTGTTAAAGTCCCCAATTATTCTGGGATTATGGGATATCATATTGGTCAGACCCATCAAGGTCTGTTTCATAAATCCAGGAGCATTTAAGTTGGATGCATAAATTGAAATCTTTTTGCTGTATTTTTCTTTTGACCAGTATAAAGTATCCATCTTTGTTTTTCTTAACTTTAGTTGCTTTAAATCCACTTGTATCTGAAAATAAGATTGCAATACCTCCTTTCTTCTGATTTCCATTTGCTTGAAATAACTGTTTTGCATCCCTTAACCCTAGGTGTGTCTTCTGGAGACAGCATATGGATAGCTTATGCTTTTTTATCCATTCAGCCATCCTGTACCTCTTCAGGGGTGAATTCAGTCCATTGACATTTATTGAGAGAATTGATTAAGTATGATAGAATTCTAGGCATCTTATTTTGTGAAAGTCTGTTGTGTAGTTTTATCCTTTGTGCCATTGTGGAAGCTAAGTTTTGATCCTTCGCTTCTGGGTATTGCTTTGCTGGTGGTCTGTTGTGGTGGTCAGTGTTGAGAATAGGTCTAAGTATTTCCTGTGAGCTAGCCTTGTTATGGCAAATATCCTCAGTGCTTGTATATCCACAAAAGATTTGATTTCTCCATCCATTCTGAAGCTTAGTGTAGCAAGATACAGAATTCTGGGCTGCAAATTGTTTTGTTTAAGAATGTTGAAGGTATGGCTCGGCACCTGTGGCTCAGGTGGCTAAGGTGCCAGACACATACACCTAAGGTGGCGGGTTCGAATCCAGCCTGGGCCTGCCAAACAACAATGACAGCTGCAACCGAAAAATAGCCAGGCACTGTGGCAGGCACCTGTGGTCCCAGCTACTTGGGAGGCTGAGGCAGGAGACTCGCTTGAGCCCAGGAGTTGGAGGTTGCTGTGAGCTGTGATGCCACAGCACTCTTCCCAAGGGGGCAGCTTGAGGCTCTGTCTCCAAAAAAAATACAAGAATGTTGAGGGTAGATGACCATGCACTTCTGCTTGGAAGGTTTCAGTTGAAAAGTCTACTGTCATCCTAATGGCTCTGCCCTTGTAGGTCAGTTGGCGCTTATCCCTGGCTGCTTGCAGAATTTTTTCTTTCATGTTGACTTTGGACAAGTTCATTATAATGTAGAGACTCTGTTTGAGTTGAGATGACCCCGGGTTTGATATCCATCTGAAAGGAATGTGTTGGGGGTGTTGGGGGTCTTTGGTAAAACCTGGGAAGTTTTCTTTTATTATAGTCTCCAGCAGGGCTTCCATACCTTTGGGGCAATCTTCTTCCCCTTCAGAATCCGTATTATTTATATATTTGAACATTTCATGGAGTTTCTACATGCCTGTTCTGCTTTCTCTCTCCTCTTTTCTGCCTCTTTAACTACTTGGGTTAACTCGAAAACTTTATCCACTAGCTCTGAGGTTCTTTCTTCTCCCTGGTCTAACCTATTTTTGATACTTTATCTACTACATTTTTACATTTCTTGATTGTCTCCTTCATTTCCTCAAGCTCCACCATATTCTTTCTATATTCTACATATCTCTCATCTGACTTTTGGTTCTGTTTTTCCATTTTTTCAGATCCTTTTATTGTCTTTATCATCCATATTTTAAATTCCATTTCTGTCAAGTCCATTAATTCTTTTTAGGTGGAGTCTTCTGCAGTAGCTGCCTCATCATCCCTTGGGGGTTGTTCCTCTGTTTTGGTTTTTCATGTTCCCTGAATTTTTCTATTGGTTCCTCTTCATGTGTTCTTTTTTCTTGTTCTCCTCCTTGTCCTCCTATTTACTTCTCACTGCCTCCTTTGTTTTAAATAGAAATCTTGATCATAGTATGTTGCAATGTGTTGCTGGGACACTAGGTGGCTGTTGTGATTTTTTTAGGAGACAGCACAGCCAGGAACCTCTGTGGTCCTTATTCCAAACTTAGTTGCCTTCAGTGATCACCTGATTGTTTCTTAAGCATTCAGACCCTGCTGGGTTGGGATTTTAAAGCTCACGAGAATCCTTCAGGGGCAAGTCTCACAGTGCCCCCTGACTCCAGTTCCCATGGGGTATGGGAGCCCCTCAGCCTGTCCCAAGAATGGATTTTTGATCCCTGGCAGGCAGAATTAAGATGGCTGTGCTTTAGGCCCCTGCTGAGGTCTTCTCAGGACCTTCCCACAATGGCAGCTTCCTGGTCCAAGAGGTCTCAGTATTTCTGCATCACCAGCCTCCAAACCTATGACAAATTCACTCCAACTGGCATTCAAATCGGATTGCTATATTCTGTTCAAGTCTACCCACTTTTCCAAGCTTTCCACTCAACATACAGCTTCCCCAACCGCTGAAAACTCCAGAAAGGCGTTCTCCCATCCCAGACTTTTATAGGAGGGGCAGCCAACCCCAGTTGGTTGTAATCACTTGCTTAATTCATCAGAATTCCACTTCTGGGGATCATAGGCTGTATTCAGCTCACTACCTCCTTGCTGTGCTGCCTGAGCTATGACTCTGGGTAAAGTCCCTGTGCCAGGTATGGCTGGGTTCTCCTTTTTTCCAGTTGTTCTAGGAGAACTCAGCTGAATGATCTTTTCTGGTCTGCCATCTTGCTTCACCCAAGAAGATAATTTTTGAATCGCATGTTGTAAGTCTTAATTCCTCATTCACCAATTCAGGAAATAGCGTCTATATTCTGTTTGGCCCTATGGAAGAATTCACAAGAGACGTGTAGGGCTACTTACCAAAGTTTTTTTTTTTTTTTTTTTTTTTTGAGACAGAGCCTGAAGCTGTCCCCCTGGGTAGAGTGCTGTGGCATCACAGCTCATAGCAACCTCCAACTCCTGAGCTAAGCACGTCTCCTGCCTCTGCCTCCCAAGTAGCAGGGACCACAGGTGCCCGGCTGTTTTTTGGTTACAGCTGTCATTGTTGTTTGGCGGGTCCGGGCTGGATTCGAACCCACCACCTTAGGTGTATATGACTGGCGCTTTAGCCGCTTGAGCCACAGGCGCTGAGCCACTTACCAAAGATTTAAATCCTTTTGAGTTCAAAGTATGAAATAATAATACAAAAGAACTCTAAGAGAATTTTGAATAATATAAATCTTGTTTTGCTTTTTTTCTTAAAGAAGAGAGACTGGGTATCATTCTGTCACCCAGGCTGGAATGCAGTGGTATAATTGTAGCTCATTGTGACCTTAAACTCCTGGGCTCCAGAGATCCTCCTGTCTCAGCCTCAAGTCACAGGAATTATAAGCATGAGACACTGTGCCTAACTTTTTTTTTTAATGTGGAGTTGTGCTGATTATAACCAGTTGTGTTCAGATTAAATTAAATCAAAAGTATTTTATTAAGCTTGTATCTTCATATGTCATTGTTTTATATTCATTGTATTTATGTTGGGAAGGGAAACTGACTAGTAGAGAAAGCATATGCATTTTGAGGAGACAATATATTTTTTCTCACCTAAGTTCTTCAAAATAACTTGAAAATGTGGTATAAATACAAACATTTCCCCTTAAAAATGTACATGCAGTATTTATGTGTTTGTATACAATGAAGCATATTTTCTAGGATGCTTTAAATTTCAAGCTAGCATTTCTCTATAAAATTAATCTTTGTCAGTTTAGCAACACTGTGGTGATGCAGTTATCTGTAGAAATGCATTTTCAAAGACCAGAGATGTGTTTTTATATTGGATTTTATTTTGAACAAATTGTTACTTGAATATCCAGGATAAATATGTAATTGTTAAGCCTCATATCCTTTAACATTTAGCATTGTAGAACAAACCTACACCCCAGCTGAATGTGTCAGCCAGGCCATAGACATCAATGAACCAATAGGCAATTTAAAGAAACTACTGGAACCAAGACTACAGTGTTCTTTGGATGCTCATGAAATTTGCCTGCAGGATATCCAGGTAACATTTTTTTTTTTTTTTTTGAAATTTGTATTTCAGAATTTTATTCTGAGTAGGAATATATTTTGTTAGCAGTTTGTTTCAATAGCTGTTGCCTTTCCCTCTGTAAATTGATTTGACATGTATTACTATAAAGTTTAAGCATTTAGAAATAGAAGAATCCTTTCAGCAAAATTTTATCCATTTAAAATTATAAAGATTAAGTACTAAATCAGACATTTTTTTTTAAACATACAATGAGAAGTTTAAATAAATTGGAATATGAATTTAAATATGGAGTAGTGGGAAACACATTGACTTTGGAATTTGAAGAAGTGTATCTCTAGGTAGCTTTTAACTTCTGTGCATCAGTTTCCTTATCTTTAAAGAGAGATTTGACTAATGATTTTTATATTTCCCTTTCATCTTTATTTTCTCTGGCATTAAATTTTGAATAAGAATTTATATACCAACTGATATTTCTTGGAATTTATTACAATAAGATTTTATTCATAGCGGTATTAAAATGTATTACGTTTGGAAAATATGTTCATGTTTTATGGTACGTTTTCAAGAAAGGTAGTATTTTTATATATGAAAGGTTGTAGCCTAAATAGGATTGCTCAGGTAGTTTTTTGTGACCTTCCGTAAACATGTGAGTAAGTACTGTGGTTTCATGTTTTTTTTATACTAATACTAATGCATATTGTGTCATCTTTTGGATTATTTGGTTTGTTTTATTCTTTACTCCTCCCCCTACCTGCCTCATGAGAGGGTTATAATTGATACAATAGAATTCTTGACTTAGTTTTTTGAAAATTCAAGTCATCATCTGTTGCAACTGTTATCTTTCCTTTCAATATAAGTCTAGTAATTGTCAGTGGTGGAGGAATGGAGCTGTTCTAAAACTAGGTAATGCAGTTAGGTTTAGTAATATTATAATTTTAGGATTTAAGATTTTCCTTCACTTAACAGTGATAGAATGAATTAGCTTAATTTTTTTGGAAGACAGTCTGATGTTTAGTATTTATTACTGGTAAATGTGAAATGCCTAACATTTCTACCTCACAATAAATGGTTCCTATAGTAGTCCTTACCTGGGTGGACAGAGGTATATGCATGAGGAAGTTCATTCATGGTTTTGTAAAAACTGAAAACTTATATATTCCAAAAACGAGATTCAGTAAATAAGTTCCATAGATTGGAATTTAAGGTAGCCATTAAAAATTGGCAAACTGGGGTTGGTGCCTGTGGCTCAGTGAGTAGGGTGCCAGCCCCATATACTGAGGGTGGCAGGTTCGAACCCAGCCCTGGCCAAACTGCAACAAAAAATAGCCAAGTGTTGTGGCAGGTGCCTGTTGTCCCAGCTACTTGGGAGGCTGAGGCAAGAGAATTGCCTAAGCCCAGCAGTTGG